TTATAATATATATAATATGTATACATATATATATATATGTGTGTGTGTGTATGTGTGTATACATATATATATATATATATATACACACTGTCCACTTTTTTTTCTATAATGTCTCTTTTATACCTTTCTCGCGTTGTCTGTGCACTTGAACATATTCTCTATTCCGTGCGAGCACCGGGTGTGTATTTGCTTCTTCTTTTTTAATGTACATGCCCGCTAAATTGCCTATATATCACTTATATTTCATTAATATATCTCGATCGCGATCGTATTAAAATTTAACATTTAAATTCTTCAATCACTACAATATTACACCGCGATATTTGTACAAAGAACAATCACATGAATTTTTTCGCGACTGCGTCACTCTTGAGACCTAGTCGCTGCTTCATTCCTTTCGTGTTCTTTCATTTTTGTGTCGCTTCCGCAGCCACTTCGCTCCGCCTCGCGTAATCGTCTTTCTTTTTTCCACAATTTCACGATCTTCGTTTATCGGCCTCCTGCGGCGTTTCATCTGCCTTATCCTTTCTCTTTGAAGTGGGAACTTCACTTCTTCGACCTTTCTTTTCCTCATTCCCGAGCATCCAAATGTCACGGATTTCGACGTGCGGCGTAGTAAGACATCGTCAAGACTGTGTACCCTGGTGGTCGTCCTGGAGGTCACGGATCATCGTTGTCCTCCGATTCTAATCTACGCCAGAGCACGATAGGTCCGTCACGCTTCTCATGTCGTTAGAACCGTCGTTTCACCATCCATTCTGTTTTGCAAGTACTCCTGAAACATCCGAGGTTAACGATCCTCAATCTAACGCGAAGACATTTCAATATTAAAAATCAAGACAAATTTAATAATCTATCTTATTTAATGATAGATTATAAGATATAAACTATAAAATATAATCTTGATATCAATATTTTTCTTTGCATAGTATATGTTTTTTTAACATCTCCTCCCCCCCCCTACCCCTCCTCTCCAAAGTTGTGATACGATAAAACGAACGTTTAAGCTTAATTCAACAACAAAAACAAAAACTGTATTTTGTATGTGGAATAGCGTATATGAAACTAATCGAAATGGTAATGATAATATTAATGTAATGTACACAAACCTTTATAAGTGATGTCCGTAGTACTCTGGATAATGGTACTGATTGTGGAAGGTAGGATCGCCGGGCGGCCGGTGCATCATACTGGCCGCCTGTCCGTCCATCATGTAGCCCATCGTCGCATCCGGACTGTATGCCCCGCTTGGTCCTGCGGACAATGGTGGAAACACTACACATTACTACGGTTAGATCTCTGTTCCGTAATTGGCAGGCGGGTACTGGACAAGCTCGCCGTGATCCCTTCCAAAGTTCTCGAGTAGTTCGAGACTTCGATGACCACTCGATACTCAGTCTCTTCATGGCAAAGAGGTAAGGGAGGTGAGGCAGATCGAGAGGAGCACATATCGGAGAGCACGGCGAGCTTTGTGATGCGATTCACCAAAGTCACGCGTATCACACTTCCGACAAACTGATAATTTGGAAAATTTCTATCGTTTGTAAGATTAAAATATTCTTAACTTTAGTGAATTCTTACTCTGACTTTTATCTTTGCTCAAGCATATTAAAGAAAAAGAAAAGAAACAGATAGAAGTTTCTTTTAAGCTAATACTTCGGAAAAAAAAATTATTTAAACACACATTAAATAATAAAAGTATCTTTAAGATATGATATATAAACTTAATAGTTTTATAATTCAGATTGATTTTTATAATTTGCTTGTGACATTGATGATATCGATGTGTGTAGATGTGTGTGTTGCGAAAGGATATATAGTACATGTGCCATCTAATATATTCGAAATTATTTACGATATTATCGCAGTTACGATAATTTTCCTTTCATATTCGATAATATTAATATGTATCTAGTCACTGGTAAGAGTCAATATGAATGAATTGTTACAAGTTTTCGCAATTGCTAATAAGCAAGGAAAGATGGGTTTCTTCTGTATGTAAATAATCGATCAAAAAAAAAAAAACATTAAACATATCAAGTGCAGCTAAGAATTCAATCTCACCCAAACATTTTGATGCAATGTGACGACAACTCTCTTCTCTATCCTAAGCAGTAATGGAGCCTCGAAATCCACGGGAGACTCCCCTAGTTTTAATGTCGGTATCTTAATGTATATTGCCACGATAAATCAAGGGCACTGATTGCGTCCTACCCCCTACGCCAGTAAACGCTCAATCGAAGCTGATGACACACAAGCGGAATGAAGAAGGAAGAATGAAACGGATAGACGAGTGTCGCTGAGATCCCAAACGTATGAGGGCACGACTGCCATTGTGAGATGCTTCGCTAAGCTTTTATTATGCTAAAATTTCTTTCCCTTAATCTGCATATCTCAATCGTATTATATACAGTTACTTGTTGTAGATTTAGCTTTATATACGTAGATTTGCGCGTAATCTTTAAACGATGCATTGTAGATATATGCATATCAGAAAGAGAGATTTATATATATATATATATATATATAAAACATTTCATTCTAGCGAATCAAAGGATATATTGTTAGATTGCATCGTTATATCAATTAATAATATTATAAATTAAAAATTATTAAGTTAATAGAATATTAAGATTAATAAAAACTTGGTTTTCTTTTCTGATTGCGGGGCAATTATGAGATATACTCGAAAAAATATACATGTTCTATAATATCCTGATTGCCAAAAAGGATATTTATTTATTCGATGCATAATGCGCGTAAGGCATGACAGAGTAGAGATTCATTTTTCATATCGTAAAGAAAATCGAAAGGTCATCATCGATTCACAAAATGGCGACAAAATCTAAATACCACTTCTAAGCGGCGGAAATGCCTCGTACGGCATACTGTATCTCGCAATGTGTACTTCGCGTGGAATGTAGTCTCATATTATAGGTACCATGGGTACGATATTCCGCTAACGAGGGATGCGCGCTTGTAGTGTGATTAAACCGCGCTATAACGCAGCGGGGCGTCCTGGGATAGTCGAGACGAGCCACAATATGGGAAATTAAGGAATCGCTCTTCTCTTTGCAACACGCGATGCAACGTTGACGGGAGAAGTTACGGAGAGAGCCCCAACCGCGGGTAACAGCCAAGAGGGGCAATATAGTGATGCGTTTCTGCAAGGATTCTCCTTATAAATAAAGTCGGCCCTATCTATACCCGCAAATTACAAGTCGCTGAGACTCAGATGAAGTACATGGCGAAGTGTCTTAAATGTGATCGGATTCGATTAGATTAAATTAATTTTTGTACGTCATAGGAAAATGTCTTGCGTATAAGAATATAAGCAACATTAAATAACAATATCCATTATGTAAGATTAAATGCTATTATTGCATATAAAATTAAGTAAATTTAATTCTATTTAAACAATTTAAATATAGTTTTTTTATAACACGATAAATAAAGTAAAAAAGAAATTGCGTCGTATATGTGTGATGTAATGTTTAAAAATTAACGCAAATAAAAATTCCATAATTAACTGATTAAGTTTGAATGGAATGGAAAGAAATCTACGTCAATTTACTTTGAGATAAAATCAGAATCTATAAAAGCGTGCCAAGAATTTTCTGTGAATAAATCATGAGTCGCATTGCGGAGAATCAAAGATGAAGATCGCATAGTTGGATCCACTATATGAAATCTTTGAGCTATCACCTCGTTACGCTTTAATTAACAAAGGCGAATTATCGCCGGCTATTATCGCTGTCTTAATGGCCGTTTCTTACGGCGTCGAGAATCCTCGCGCGTCTCTTCACAGTCATCCGGGGAATTCGTTGATTTTACGATGAAGGCCGAATACCACAGAATGAAGAACGTTATTTCTGTCCTAGAGCTAAGCCAAAGTAGAAGGTCAATTATACGAGGTTAGAGCTTACAGTGCAACGAGACCGCGCGACGATAAGAAAAACGCCGCATGGCGTAATGCAATAAAGTTTCCCCGGTCGACGTCGGTTCGCCGTTTGTATTTAGGTATTGTGTAAATCCACAAAGCTACCGATGAACCTTTGGTCTCTCTCCCCATCTATCGTCACATGAAATTCATTGACTAGGAAACTGCTATTCATTCACGCGATTCAATCATTGATAAAAAATGAAGTAATTATATTAATTGTTATCCATCTAAATTCCTACACAAAAATTTCGTTTCGTTTGCGGCTTAAAAATCTGAGAAGGCTTTTCTTTATTAAGGAAATTTCTTCATTGCTATTGATTAGATATAATGATTAGATATAAAAGCACATTAGAGTATATTTTGTTTTGGAAATTGTTCTTCTCTCTGAAATAAAATTTATAATCATTTAATTACAATTAAAAAAATCAAAATTATATAAATACACCAAGAAGAAAAGAAAATAATTTCTTTAAAAACGCAAACATATAAAATAATAAAAATTTAATTTTTTAACTAATTGTGTAATAAAATTAATGAAATCTTACGATAAACGAATATTTTTTCAGATTCATTAAAAGCACTATCTGTGTAACTGAATAAAATTTACTATCGACTCATTAACTTGCTGCCGTAGCGACTGATGGCAGAAGGGCGTGGAATTGCCTTAAGGTAGATCTAATTAAACTTTCGCGACAGACTTGTTCGAAGTAGTGGAATGTCGAAGTTCGACCGCGAAACGGAATTGCTGCTTCCTTTAAAATAGGAGAAGAAAATAAGTTAGAAGCTAAGACGAGGTAAGAAGATACGCTTTCACGATTTTCTAGTGTCGAACAAAAATTCATACAAAATCTGAAAAGTTCAGAAGACTTTTTAAGATTATTTAAGTGTAGTACCAGAAGATTATATAATTCTTTCGAATTTTATTTAATATAATCAATAAAAAAATTAATAAAATTTACATGAAAAACATGTCGCAAATAATATTTGACAACAAAGAAATTGAAAACAGGGGGCTCACGTTGAAATTTCACGAAACTAACTAGCTATCCGAAAGTGTTTCCAACGAATTCGACAGTGGAACATGGGAACAACATTAGTAGTTGCCTGGCAAAATGTCTAGCCCACATTTATAGCGGTAGGCAGAGAATCAAAGCTGAAGGTACGAAGGCGTGTAAGGTGGTCATACTCTCTGACTGCCACCGGTGCGTTCTAGATGAGCGAAGAATCCTTACAGAGGTTAGTTGCTGGTACTATCCAACTTAGTTGGCGGCGACACACCGAGTGTTCACGCCGAGTTTCCGTCCAGAGTTTCGCTGAAGTTCAAGCCGAGTTCTCTTCCTCGCCGGAGGTTTCCTAGGTTCGATATAACCTGACCTAACGTTACCGACAGAGTTTCTAGGAGCTTTCGCGGAGGAGGGTGCTAAAACCGCGAATGGAGACGACGAGAGAAAGATGGAGAGAAAGGGGGTGAGCAGAGAGGGAGCGAAGGCAGGGAGAGGGAGAGAGAGAGAGAGAGAGAGAGAGAGAGAGAGAGAGAGAGAGAGAGAGAGAGAGAGAGGAGGAGGAAAAGAGAGAGAGAGAGAGAAACCAAATGGCAAGGATGCTTGCAAAGGAGAGAGGGCGAAGGAAACCATGATAGATATGAGCAGTCTAAGTAACAACCATCAGTTTTCGGAGTTCACCGTGGCCGAGTGCAGTAACGAACTTCTACTCAAGATTTAAAGGAAGCACCCAAGTTTCATCTTATCCCGACGACCCGCTCGGAATTGACGACTTAATTAGCGACCAAGCACAGAGCGCTAAGTGCTCGACGAAAAGGTCCACGAAGAAGTACTTCGAAGCTGCGGCGTACTGAAGCGAAGGATTAGCCGGTTAAACCAGGTCGGACAAATTGTCGGGTTTCACTTTCACAAGACTTCGTCTGACAACTCGTAACCGCCTCGCGAATATTCATTCGTGACGCTTATTAATTCAATTACACCGTTTAATGTAGGGATCCCACCTTTCGATCAGATATTCTCGATTAAATGTTCCTCATATTGCATATGTTATTATATTCATTATATCATCTTAGCTGGATTTTTTAAATGTAAATATTGCACTGGTAACACACGTACGATAATAATATCAAATAATACTAATAATATAATGATAAAATAATTATACCAAAAAGAACCTGTCATGAAATATATTTAAATAGTCCAAATCTTACATTTATTAGTAAATAATAATTAATTTTTATATACAAGAAAATATAACCATTATAAATGTAGAGAGAATTACAAATGTACAAATGTAGAAAATATATTCT